AATAACTACACAAAGGCACGTGCGCTGTGTTGTTACTGATAATGAAATCAATTTATAACTGAAGAGGGATTATGATGCACAGTGTCGGCCCGTTTTGTAAAATTACTAAAATTTCGTTAGAGAATATATAAAATTACAAAATGTTCTTTATAGGCTGTCTAACCTTTAAATGGTATGGATAAATAAGGATTTAAGAGCCTTTGATAACATTCCTTACCGTTTCGACTTACAATTAATAAATTTTAGGTGAAACTAATTAGTTATTTTACGTAAAATTCATTAAATACTATAAATCATTCGTGGCGCTTGTGCTTCCTACATCATCATTTTTTTTGTGCGATAAACATTCGTTGTTAACCGTCACTCAAGAGCTGAATTTATTATGCTCTAAACGCTCTACTAACTGAGCTGAATTCCATTTATTTCCTTACAAATTCATAACGTTTTTGGCATACTGGAGTCACTGAAGAGTGAACACACTCGGTCTTCGATCAGCGCATCATCGTTCAACGAGTAAACGACCTTTTGTGATTTACAAGTAATTTATTACTGTGGGTTTCTCCGAAAACGGAACCTAAGATATCTGTATACATTTATATTAATAATTTGTTAATCCGTAACTAGCTTACCTACATGTGCAATAAGGAATATTACAGCCAACTTTATACTTTATTACAATTCATGATTTACTATTGGCATAAAATAACTTAATTTTTAGCCTCTTTATATAGCATTAAAACTTAAACTATCTCATGAATTCCACCGTCTTGCTTTTCAGGAAAATGTTATACATTTTACAAGCTTTTACAGGAGTAAATAAACTGGTAGTCGTTGATGTATTAAAAATCAAATGTTTTAAAATATTTACTTTAGTTTTGGAATTATCACAATTTCTCTCAAAAACTTACATTCCGTGTCATGAAATTCGTTGTGTTCTCATAAGCCTAATATAGATTCTCTTTGTATGAGGTGGATGAAAACTCCACTGCGATGACGTCACGTCCCTAATAGAAGTTATCTCGAATGCTAAACTTATACATATTTAAACATGGCCACTGGGGCCTTCAGACCAGTTATAGTTAGACTGGTTAGCAAAATCCTCCCTTCAGGTTGGAGAAAGCAGCACCTTCCTCCACAATATTTTAATATAACAAATACCTTTGCATTTATGTTGCGTGTGTATATAACTTGCATGAATTACATAAATTTTATTTTACCTACTCCGCTGGCGTGTGTGAAAATGAGCGTTGGCATCCGAAAGAAAGAAAATGAAAAAAAAGAAGGACCTAAGCGAGCTCCAAGTACTCAATTGGAAAGGTAGCGCGCGATCGGAAAAAGTGGCGTTTTCTAGTTTCGGAAATTTTATTTTAGTGTGAATTTTTGTATAAGTTTACAAATAAAACACACATGCACACAAGTACAGTAGACACATTCGTAAGAAGCATCTACGTATCTGGCTAACTAATAAAAATATCTCTGACACCACGTTTGACCAATTACTGGTATTAACCAAACTGCCTATGAAAATACTAACGAATTAAATACTGTTTAAACGGTGAAGATGACAATGACAATCCTCGTTCAAATTTGCATAACATTGTAAAGCAGATGTTCTACAACAATATTATTCAGGGAAACTCTGAAGCGGATATAAATTTAAAAGGAATTATACGAGTAATATCTGATAGTGAGTCAAATATGAGAAATGGTCGGATGTGCCGCCAAAAGCAAGATTGTAGAACACATTGCTGAATCATTGCAATGCTTAGTTTGCGGTTTTAACGTCCGACTTAGCACTAGTTTAGATTGTGAATATGGCTATTTAAATAGCTCGATTTATCCTTTTCTTGTTATGGTAATAATATAATATATTTTTCGTAACATTATTAATACAAACCAACAACGCAATATTCAATTATCATAGTCCGATAAGAAATTGACGCTGGTGGGATGAATGCAAAAATAATCATATTTCAGTGTCAACGAACCGTTTGTCATTGTGGAGAAACTAAATTAAGTCTGTCATAAAGTTTTACCCCGATTTAGATCTAATAATGGTATCCATCGAATACATAAGGGCACACATGACACAATATATGGAAATTATTAATGAACAGTATAGATTAAAAGACGATTTTAATTGTGCGTTGAGTGAACTTACAAAAGGTTGCTATAGCTACTGTAAGAAATATTTAGTCTTTTTGGTAACTATTTTTCTATCAGTGTTTAATGTTCTGTTGATTTTTTGTTTTGTATGTTATATAAATGTAAATAGTTGCCACATTGGAATAATCTGTAAAAAAAAATTGTTTAGGCAAATACACCTTTTAGGAGGGTACCAAAGTTCCAATAGGCGCGAATCTATTTTCAATTTTCCTTTTATGAACCTAATTTGGACGAAAACATAATGATGCGGTTTTTATTATTTGTAAATATTTACCTTGAAATTTTACTTGCAACGGATTTCTTCTCATTATTCATTTTATTATATTACTTTCTCGGAAAATCCATGAATTGTATAACTCATATGAAAACAATAAACAATATATTGAGTTATTCACAACACCCTTTTAAATAACTTTTCTTACTAAAGAAACATATTTGAATTTTTTAAATAGATAATATCTATGACATGTTAAGGTATAGGCTAGTTATAAATGGACTATTTTGATTTATTTCGATAATTTAAAAGGTTATTAAAATGTTCATTATGGTCGTTACAATTATATATAATGTGATTTACTAACTAATATAGTTAATTTATAATTATAATATAATGAAAGTTATAATACTTTCTACAAAACGCGGTAAAAAATTAATAATTTTCATCAATAGGTGAGAATTTTTCAGAGCGACTGAAGCGTTGCTCTTCATGGATATTGCAGCATTGCAGTTCAATTTCAGCATTGCTTGTGATTTTGACGTAGGCAGTGGTAGGAAATATTTTTTGCAATTAATATTTTACCTCAAAAAAATTAAAAGTACTTTATTTAATGTACTTTTTGTATATTTCTCTTAAAATTATAGCGAATGCTTTATTTTTATATCATCCTCATGGTCCGTAGTACGTCGAGAACTGCGCTGCCATCCTCTAGAAGTCTAAGATCTAATTAAGTGTTATTATTAGACGATATTTGTGCCGTATTTAATAATTATCTTCTAAAAGGAACTGTCAGATCACGAGAATTATTATACGAGATACATAGTTTTTTTTTTTAAAGACAATTTACACCAATTGACCGAGCCCCATGCTAAGCTGGTTAAGCTTGTGTTATGGGTACTAGGCAACGGATATACATACATATTATAGATAGATAGACATATAAATACATATTTAAACACCCAAGACCTAAGCACAACACCAAATGCTCATCACATCGATGTTCGTCTCAGCCGGGGATCGAACCCGGGACCCATGGATTCGCAGTCAGGGGTACTAACCACTAGACCAATGAGTCGTAGTAATAATAAAAATTAGTAACAAAAATTTTTCGTAAGCTGTTGTTATCTATCTGATCTTCATTCAAATTTACACAATTTAGTTACTTGTTCAAAGTAAACAATTGTTGGTTATTCGCTATAAGCTATATTTTTACTTAATCAAGGTTCCTAGTGGAAAATAAGGAAAAAACCTGTTCGTCTCGTTAGCACTCGTGTTTAACTTTAGCGGACGCCTGTGTTTATATTCACTCTGTTAGCGGTATAAAAATTAGCTTCTGAAACGAGAAAGGTATTCGAAAAACATGCTTTAGAAATATTAAAACCTGAATTTAAAATATGAAATATATAGATGTTGCATTTTCGTTAAAACTTTGTCGCGATTTTGGGCAGGTTTTACATAAAAAAATTACGTCAGAAGTCTCTATTCAAATATTTTGATTCCCAGGTGAAAATTCTGCCCTTATTCGTCCTCTGAAAATCGTGAAAATAAACAGTTTTTATGTTTAAAATAAAATCGTTCAGTCGGATAATCCTCCTTAATGTAGTACTGAGTATTTTTTAGACAGGACTTAACACACAATGGCTGTTGTATCTCAGCTAATCCTAAGAGCTACCATCTAAGATCTATCTGTACTTTTGTAAAAAATATTGTACATATTCTTATTTTTGTTTCTTTTCTTTAGCGAATCGCTTTTACACGAAATTACATATTTTTTATTTTAATATTTACAGAGCAATTAATATTTTATATAGCTTATTTTCTAGTAATTTGACAAAACGATGTACACAACTAACTTGAACTAAGAATTGTAAATACTGTATATTTGATTGTTATAATTAGAATTAAAAAAAAAATAGAAACTTCAAAAATCATTTATTCATATAATTAACAAAATGTACACTTGAACGTCAAAAAATAAATATAAACGAAATGCCTCTAATTTTACATTTACTGCTAGTTCTCAAATAAAGGGCGTAGAACGGAAGAGAAGAACTGGCAAAAAACTCCCCGCCACTCTTTGTACAAACGTTGTACTAACCTACCTTATTTTTATATTATCCTACTAAATTAATGTAATTTCTTTGAGTAATAAAGTATGTTTGAACCGAATTGTGTTTTTCAAATTTTATGGGTATTCTTTTTATTGTATATATATTGTGAAAATTAAAGCAGCGAAAAATTTCATACTAAAATACTGTGGTTTATCAGTAGTGATTCATATATCACAATATTATGGTCAGCTGTGTCAATGAATGACGCTTATCGCAACTTCCATAAAACCAGATGCAAATAAGTAGAACGAGTGACACATATAGACAATAGACTCCACAGCAGCTCCATTGTCACGGTAGATTTACTGTAATTTTAATTGGAATAACACGTTCTTTTATATTAGATTATACAAATCAAAGACAATAAAACTTGAAAACCTACTGAATGACAGTGTAATCTACTGTAATTATTAGCTGCCAACGTTGTATAGTATTTTTGCGGTCACTACTCAGTCAAAACAGTTGCGTGATGCGTCATTTCACATTTGTGCTTAGTCGAGACAACGATGGCGAGTGGAGCGGCCGCTAAACCACATTACAACTTGGAAGATGCTCCGGCACTCTTTGAAAAGTTTATAAAGGACCATGATAAAGTGTACACAGATGACGAGGACAGGGCTGTCCATTATGAGGCATTTAAGAGGAGATTGGAACAAATAAACAAGGCCAATGCGCAGAATGCCTCAGCGACGTATGACATAAACAAGTTCGCAGATTACACGGCACAAGATAGTAAACATCTCACTGGTGTCCTTCGTCCAAGTTAGTTTCTTTTATTTATTAACCATATTTATATACACTTTTTGGCACAAGAATTAAATAATAATAATTACTTAATAATAAGATAAAAACATGATTATAATACACTTCATTCTATAAATGTCGTAGGTCTCTTCTAGCTCTCCACTTATTTCAAATCTGGGCAACTCTAGTCTACAAAGAAAGGCTTTACTAATCCCATTTCAAATTTATAATATCAAATCGAAATGTTATTTTAAGCTGATGATGCAATATAATATATATATATTACTCATGTATGTAAATAAGTGAATTTTATATTTTTAAATACAATATAAAATAAGTACGTTGGTATAAATACTGTGATATTTTTCATATTTTAAAGGCATGTCGAATGATTCACTAAAAATCGCTTATTAAAGGATAGACTTAGTCGCGAAGTTCTTTGTTTTTATCGGATTATTTTTAAAGGTTGCATTGCTTACGAATGTCTTATTCATTTTTAACTGATTTTTATTCACTTTCAGATAATTAACATTGAAGATTCGAGTATGGGGTTACAAATTACGAAGATGCTGTTTAGGAGTTCTTAAAGAACCGTTTTTCAATTGTTTATATATCTCTCTTAGTCTAAAAATTTTTTTCCATCCATGGCGGGAACTTGAGTGAGCGCAATGCGCGACGCAGAAATCAGTGAAGAAGTTAAGAAGAAGAAATTTAAATTAAATTTTGAAGAAATTATAAATTTAATTTGCCAATGTTTCGTTAAAAAAAATATTTGTGACCGTACCTAATTAGTTGCGAATAAACAATGATAATATATTTTTTTTTACAATAGCAACATTTTACAGTCATTGAAATCCTATCGCAGTCGCATTATATCCTTATTTATACAGGATAATGATATCACCGTTGTGATTACTAAGCAATGTAATTTTTTAATGAGTATTTAATTACGCCCATCATACCATATAAGTCAACAATGTTTCTCATCTAGAAACGTTGATTTTTTTTCTCTTATTGTCCGCATACTTTTAATACACAGATAAAGGAAACGATAAATCATTTATGCTTAGAATAAATAATGTTATATTAAATTTATAGCGTATAAATTATAATATTGAATTATTAAACCGTGTTATAATTTAGTATTGAACAGAACCTTGGAACAATGGACCTTGGAACCTCATACCTTATAAATTACAAGCATACATTGTTGTTCATACGAGATAATAGCAAAACTGATGTAGGAAAATAATCAAGCTATGATACGCGAGTAGTAGTTTATTTTTTGTTTTAAACAATTCACGGAAGTGTGATCGTTTAACATCGCCATGTTAGTTACCGAAGTTGGTTTCTCGTTGTTCTTAGAAAAAACATATATGTTTTGACGCGCCATATACGGTCTGCCATAACAAAGACATTTATTAATGCGAACCTGAAAATCTGTGTTAAATATTCGTATAAAAATCACCAACCAGTGGTACAACATTTTAGATCTGGGCCTCAGATTTCTGTATCTGTTTCGTGATAATTTGTTGCTTCTAATATTAGCAAGTAGGTGATCACCTGCACCTGACACACGCCGTCGACTTTTTAGATATAAGGCATACACGGTATCCTCACGATATTTTCCTTCACCCTACAGCCTAGTTTAACATGCGCATATAGAAAGTTCATTGGTGCATAGCCGGGGTTTGAACCTACGACCTCAGGTATGAGAATCGCACGCTGCAGTCACTACTGCTCCGTCGCCTGAGTTGGTTGCGTGCTAAACTAGGTTTTTTGATACGCAAACGATGTACAACTTTGTTTAACTGGTAGAGCTAATCTAAGGAAAAAATATTAAAAGAAACATATATAACTGTTCACATATATTACAGGGTTTGTGGGAAATAACATGTTTGTTATGTCTTGTAAATGATATGTGACTCATTATAAATCTGAATACCTAAAAAAATCACTATAGAAGTCTACTTCGCAGAAACAAACAAAATGCTGCTTAATTTATGCTTGTATTTTTATACGTGACGAATACACTGAACGTGACCATCCCAAAACGTAGTCGGATTTATTGGCTTAGCTCTATCCAGAAAATACTCTTTTCATACGATTTTACGATAAGTAGAATTTAGATACAGTCTTGTTATATATTCTTCTATATAATGCAGTACGTGTTGTACTGAATTTATTATTTCAAATTTAATAAAATTAAAATAAATCAGTGTCGCTACAACCTTTTTAGATCTGAGCCTCAGATATATATGTATGTTTCATGATCACTTGTCAATCTAATAGCGACGTAGGTGATCAACCTTCTGTGCCTGACGCACGCCATCGACTTTTTGGGTCTAAGGCAATCCGGTTTCCTCACGATGTTTTCCTTCACCGTTCGAGCGATTGTTAAATACGCACATAGTCTGAAAGTCCATTGGTCTACAGCCGGGGATCGAACCTACGACCTCAGGGATGAGAGTCGCACGCTGAAGCCACAATGCTCAAATTTAATACTTTTGGTAAATTTGACAGGGATTATAAATGACTAGCAGCGCAGGGTTTTGTGGGCGGAAAAATTTTGCGACCTCATTCATAATTTTTCTTAATGGTCAAGCTTTTCAGCTGAGAATATATCCTTACAGTGTTTTACTTCGCCGTAGTAACAAGAGTTACTTGCGTATATAGTAAGAACAATTGTTTGGACATAGTAGTGTAGTGTTGAGAATAGCACTGCTGCTAGCATAAAGACCAGTATCAAAGTCTTAAAGTTCAATATGAAATCCTCACATTCTTCCACCTGCATGTAAATACTGTAATCGTAAGCTTTGGTCCAGAATGATCTCGAATCGTGCGGTGAATGAGATAGACCAACCAGATCAAGGACGTGTCAAACGAAGCACTACGTGAATGCCACCCTTGTGGTGTCTACGATTATCGCAACAAGGATATCAAGCATAATCTATACTCCAAGATCCTCTCGACCACAAGATATGATAAAAAGATAAGATAACATTTATTTTATTACTTTATATTTTATGTTGAGTTCCTTGCGATTTTGCGACATCAGGTCTTCGGATATAAGGTCAGAATGTTTATCTCTATTGGAGGTGTAATTCTGCGTTAAGACATAGGAGTAAGTACTGTGTACCTGTTGTGACGGTGAGAAAGTGAGGTCAGTTTTCCGCACGTACCCAATTTATACGTAATGAAATACTTTTTTTTATTATTATTTACAAACCTATCAGACAATACACAGGTGATATTCATTTATATTTGGTATAAAAACCGAATTTATTTCTCCTATAGCAGGTATTAAACAACGCAGAGAAGTTGCATATGAAAAATGAAAGGATATATAATATGATTGGACAATTCACACCAATTGACCTAGTCCCATGCTAAGCTGGTGAAGCTTGTGTTATGGGTACTAGGCCACGGATATACATTATACATACATATTATAGATAAATAGACATATAAATACATATTTAAACATACAAGAGCACAACACCAAATGCTCATCACATCGATGTTTGTCTCAGCCGGGGATCGAACCCGGGACCCATGGATTCGCAGTCAGGGGTACTAACCACTAGACCAATGAGCCGTCAAATATATCTATGTATATATTTCCAAAAAATTATGTTTCAACATAAAAATAACGAATAAAAGAACACCATATTATAACCATACCTAAACAAAAGCAAACAAAAACAAGACATGCAGCAAGTGGCATTGACGGCAACAATTTTAATTGGTACCTAGAGGAAGCAGAATGTACCATAGACCAAGTTACTAATAAAAAAAGTCACAAACAAACTGGTAATCTAACAGGTATGAAACTGTATGAGAAGGTATGAAACTGTATGAATATTTCAGTTTCCTTTTTGAGTTTTACATAATATGCCCATTGCATTTACGACTTAAGTGACGTATAGGACTTGTATAAAATAGTGAATTGAAAAGCGGGTGAGGGTTAGTTTAAAATAACCGTCACATACAAACTGGTAATCTAACAGGTTTCATACCTGTATGTACTGTATGAGAAGGTATGAAACTGTATGAATATTTAAGTTTTTTTTTTCGAGATTTACATAAGCTTATTGCATATACGACTTAAGTGACGTATAGGACTTGTATAAAATAGTGAATTGAAAAGCGGGTGAGGGTTAGTGAAGTCAAATCACCAAACGAAACCATTTAGAGGATTTGTCGGCCCCTCGTAAGTGCTCGTCAGGAATGGGATAACTTCCCAAAGGTTTATCTTATTTTCGGAATCCTCACAAACGAAGACGTCGCTTTTATGACAAGATCTTTTACTAATCTAAATCAAGTGCAAGAAGCAAAAATTTAAAAATAACATGTATTTTTTTTCTATAGGTCCATTAAACGAAAGAAAACATTTTTCGTGATTGAAGCACGTTGAACTCGCGTTTTACTGACTCTAGAACAAAAAAATACTTTTAAAAAAAGACCAATAGGCTACTATTATATAGAAATATATTATATTTATTTATAAGTTCTAAAACAATATGCATGCTTATAAAATAAAATAAATTATTGATGTGTATGTACGTTACAAACATACATACACATCACTTTTATTAGAACATAGAAATTACAAACAAGCAAGGAATTAAACACAAAAGCAAGGAAAGAAAATTATAATCAAACAGCAAAAATAAAAAACTCATATTTAAAGTAAAACTAAATAGAAACTTAAAAACGAAAAATAAATATAGTTACGGTAAGTAGGAAGATTATTGTGAAATATTAGGTCCTTACATATGAAATTGGCGTTTTGTGTGGGAGGAACAAAAAGTCGAATATTTTTAAATATAATATATTTAATTAATCAAAGTATGAACCATTGTTTTCTATGCACTTTTGCCATCTCATAGGTAGTTCATTGATCCCTTTACAAAAACCAGTCGGACGGGAATCAATAAAATCTGTGAAGGCGATTTGGACTGCCCCATCAGAGTTAAATTTTTTCCCTTGCAAGAAGTTGTCCAAATTTCGAAAAAAATTT